TAATATGAATTTCTATTCCTTTAAAGTTAGTGTAGAAGTTCGCGTTCTTCTTTGTCCTCAAATTCAGTTTATATTTCTTTTATTAATTCTTTAGTCATTTTTTTTTTGTTAAGTATTTGAATTTCATTTAAAATGAGAAGGTTTGTAAAATATTACAAAAGGTTAAGACGATTAGGAAAAGCCTTGGCAAAATAAAAATAAAAAAACAAGGATGATCCTAGAAAAGTATTACGTGATGGATGTGATTTTACTCGTATATGAGCCAAACTTGCATTAGGTCACCAACTTGTGTCTTTGATCTTTTGGCTAGTATTGTGTCTCGGATTTGTCGGTCTATGATTCTGAATATAACCATAGGAGTTGTAGAGCAATTGTTGTGAAGCCGGTTGTTCCTGTCTGACCATATTCCATATATTGTGGCTTGAGCAACAAGGCGTCTTAGTGTCCTGGATACTGTGTTATCTCTTTTGCCAAGCCAACAAGAGAAATCATTCCAAATGCAAAAGTTAAAGGTCCTGTAGCCTAACCGTTTGTTGACCATATTCCAAATGTCCATACTCACTTCACAATTAAGAAAAAGATGATCGCGTGTCTCTTCGAAGACATTACAAAGGCAGCATTCTGACCTGATTTGCATGCCCCAATTTGCAAGTCTTGCTCTTGATAATTCTTTAGTCATATTCACTTGTATTATTTTTTCCTTCTCTTCCTTTCTTCTTTTCTATTGTAACTAGAATATGACCCGCGCAATGCGCAAGTTTTTGTTATACAATTTTATCAAATTTAACAAATTTGTATTTATTAATTTAGTAACTCAGTATTTATGTATGATAAAACAACCAATGTTTATAGATACAAAATAATATTTGTTTTAAATTAAAATAAATTTATTTTCTGATTTAGTATTAATATTGATTGAAAACATGAAGTGATTATCAATTATTTTGATATCAATAGTTAACATTTAAAATATATATTTTTTAAACTTTGTTCCGTACATATATATGACAATTAGATAAATCATAGTATCTAAATAAACAATTATGATTTTGAAGATAAAATTTATCAATCATTTTCTAATAAATCTTTATAGTTTGATTACTTATCATTTTTTGTCATTTATCTTCGTCTCATGATTTATATATTTTTGATTTTTGCTCACCATATAACACTTTTTGAGATTTTCTGATACTATGTTTTAAACTATGTTCTTTCCTAATAGGTTGACAAATAAAAGAGTTAAGATAGTTAAATGTGTTGTTAAAAAAGTGACGTTGGATTAAATGTAAGATTTTTTTTTTTGAGGTACAAACCTTTTAATAAGAGAAAACCCTTTCATATTTCATGAAATATAGATTTTAAAAAAAGTTTAAAAATACAAATAAAAATTTTTTTTTACTTTTAACATTTTAGATATATGGTTACATATG